ACACACACACACACACACACACACACAGAGGGAGACCGAATAAAAAACGTGCGAAATTCAGATCCAAAGAGCTCGCGGCTCCCTTTCGTTTGGTCTCGTGACGCAAGTGCAAGGACGTCGCGTGTGTTTCGCGTGACAAATAAAGAGACAGGAAAGTATGCGAATGTAATATCTATGTGGTGGTATAGTACGCACGAAGAGAAGGAGACTCACCTTCGACATGCCGCCCCCGCCGCCGCCGCCGCCGACGCCGCCACCGGATGCGGTCGAACCGCGTCCGGGAGTGACGTAGAGACTTTCTGTACGCTTAGGCTGTCCCGGACTCGGTAGAATATCCTGCCCAAGGTTACGATTCTTCAGCAGGGCGCTCTCGAATTGGCTGGACGTCGAGGCTGCGTACGTCGGCGTCGCGGCGCCGCTTCCCACCACCGATCCGTTCAATGGCGTGCCCGATCGAATCGCACTCGGTGCCCTCATCGATCTAAATTTGTGGATCGAAGCGAAGTTAGAAATCTCCTTTCGTTCATGTTCTCGCCTATTCGGCTGTTGATCTATTTTTCTGGTTAGTTAACAAGTAACCTACTGTTCAACTTGTAATTACAACACCAATGGGGTATTTGTTAAATTTTATAATATCTGATCTTGCTTTCGTCGAACGTTCGAATGGTTGAGCAATGGATGTGAAAGATGAACGAAGAGAAATTAGAATCTATTTATGGAAAAGTAGTAACGATCAAAGGTGAAATAATGATAATAAAACTGAAAGTTTCGCAGTTATCGTAATTAAAAAAAAGAAGAAAACAGACAAATTTCAGAGCACCTGTCGAGCATGTCCATGGATGGATTCGTGACGGTTTTATCGACGGACGGCTGTCTCGAACCAGTCAATCGGGAATGCGCTCTAGCGTATCGATCTACGGAACTGTCGCGACTCGGCGGCCTTTTGTAATGATCTAGCCTGTAAAGTGACAAGCCAAAATCTATAATTCGCAAAATATTGTTCGAAAAAAGAAAACAAAAAAAATCCAATGTATCCAAAAACTATGTGCTAGAACTCTGATCAGTCTGAAATGTGTATGTACGTATTCTCTGTGTGTAGCTATATAATTTTGCCAAAAGCACACGTAGGTTACGAGGTTCTAACTGAATGTATCGTGTTAATTTATCAGCCAAGGACCTGTCGTTCAGCGTTTGCCCAATAGTGTTGGGTCGGTCTTGGGGAGTTAGAACCTTGCTGTTCCTTCGTATACTCGTAGAACTCGGTGGTCGTTTCGCGTCCCCATCTGGCTCGTATTGTTGCGGAATTTGGGCTTGCGACTGTGGTGGTAGTTGCTGGGGCTGCCCGTACATTTGCTGGGAGTTGTACTGATTCATCTGACTTGGTCCGTATTGATTCGGCAACGTCTAGAGAGATATCGAACGATCACATTGATATACATACGCAAAATTGTGGAACTTTCTACACGATTTAATTCAAAGTCTATTTAAAACGTTATCATCACCTGCTGATTAGGATAAGTCTGCGTGTTCTGATATCCTTGCGGTCCAATCTGCTGCTGCTGATACAAATATTGATCGGTCTGAGGTGGACTCATAGGTTGGTACTGAGACTGACTATAGGGACTACTCTGAACAGGGTATTGATTCTGCGGAGCATATTGGCCCCCTTGGAACTGACTCATCAGCTGATACTGATTCGGTATACTGTTAGGGTACTGGCCCTGTTGAACGGGACTCTGAGTCATCGTCTGAGGGTACTGCGTTTGATAAAGATTCTGACCGCTCAGCGATGTCTGGTTCAACTGATTCAGAGGTAGTTGGTTCACCAGTTGAGCCGGGGTCGGATTCGCTAGCTCGCTCTGCGACAATTGATTCTGCGGCAGCTGATTGCTCAGCAGTTGATTTTGTAACAATTGGCTCTGCGGCTTCATGCTGGTTCTCCTGATCGACTGCATCACGTTGCTGGCCGTGGTGGTGGCTGCCGACGTGGTCGATCCCGACGTTGGCTCCGAGGTCGGGCTCTTCATCGGCGTGGAGCCAGGTTGGTCCACGCTGGCCGCCTTGTGCAGGATACTCTTCCCTGGAACGGTGTCCTGCGGCGGTGGCACGTACTTGGGTATCTCCCTGTTTCGCAGCCTCTCCAGTCCAGGTTGCCGGAAGTCCGGCGCGAATTGCTTGGCCGTCTGCTGAGCCAGTTCCGAGTCCTCCCTCGCTTGCTCGGCAGCCGTGTCCGCCAGTTCGGCTCTTCCTCGGGCGGTGGCTGTTCTCGAGATCGCGATGTCCGCCTTTTGCAGCGCGATCTTGCTCGCCCTCTGAGCCGCGTTCACCGCCGCCTCTATCCTCTCGCGGAACTTGGCCGATCTGATAAGGAACAGGTGCTTCTTCTTCTGACTGGTGATCAACACGTTGTTCTTGTACTTGCCCTCCTCCTTGCTGCCGTCCCTGAACGTCGTCACGCCGTACCCGTATTTCCGGTTATTGAACCACTCGCCCTCGTATCGCAGGCCGTCGCTACGCTCCGATATACCGAAGCCTGTCCTCTTGTCGTTCTTCCATTCGCCTAGATACGTCTCGGTCACCGAAGCGTCCATTTGCTCGTCCTGTGAACAGACAGTATATCGTTTCTTGTCTTGTCATATTTCATTAGCTAATCAGTTCATTAGCAGCACCCAGTTCTTTACCACGACGACAAATCTCACCTCGATGACAAAGGACGCGTTACTGTCCGTGTGAACGGATGCCGAAGCCTGGCTCTGCGAGCTCTCCGTCGACATCCACGACGCTGAGCTAGCATTACTCCTAATACTGCCTCCAGTACCGTGTTTCTCCAAATCACCCGTACTCCTCTGCTTCCGAATCTTCAGCCCCTGAAATTCAGCGATATATTCCTTCAATCTCATCCCGTCTTCGTCTTCTCAGAATTATTCTAGGGAAAACTTCATGTCGAGGGATTAAAATTACGCTTTACCGAGAGGATGCCCTTCTTCAACGACTTCTCCGTGAGGCTCTTCCTCCTTGCCGGAGGATTATCACTCCTGGCTTTGAGCACGAAACCACCCCTGCTGTCGCCGACCCGACGATCCCTTCGGTCGGTCGGTTCCGGCGTCGGTGCCACCGCGCCGCCATCGTCCGCACTCCTCAGGGACGTCAAGGAAGCCCTGACTTGCTTCGACGGTTTGTAATGACTGGCCAAACCGAAGGGCGCGCTCGCTCTCACGCCGTATCCGTGCCTCATCCCGTGGTACCATTGTCCTTGATACGTTCCTGCGGAAAGTAATCCCTTCGTTAATCTCTTGGTTCTCTCCATTTGTGAACTCTGCCTACTGAACGTCCCGAACGGTTCATCTTATCGATTCTGCCCTATCAATGAGTGTCGTTCAAATTGAAAAAAATGTTGAATGTATTTTCTTTTAATTTGATTAGTGTAATTGAAAAATATCTCTTTTCTGGCTCGTGAGTGCACCACAGTTAGGCCACCATGGATTTAGACAGTTTCAAGTGCGATCTTTTTAGGATTGCTATCCGAGGCATTATGTGAAACAATGGGACAGTTTTGAGTGGCAAATGAGACATTCAGAAACTTTCGCCATACTTTCTGATTGATCTCAGCAACTCCTCAGAGTCTTTTGGAAAGGATAAGGATAGTCAAAAGGAACACAGTCAGGTAAGATAGGTGTCAAATCAAATCGAGAGCTAATCATCAGACATGAATCGATATTCAAGCTAAATGTATCCTATCCAACTCAATTGTCAGTCGCCAGTATCTTAGACAAGCCAAGCTTTCTGAAGCCATCAGATTCCAAATCAACCAGAGTTGTATTCGTTATTTTGCCACAACAAAGGGATCTATACCAGTCTTGCGAATGTCTTCAACAGTAAAAACTCAGAGTACAGAGTCAAGCTCTTATAATTCTGCAGGATTCCTGACAAGATCAGATCAGTTTCACCCCGGTTGACTCCAATCTTCGCCTATTATTTAGAAAAGGGCAATTTTGAAGTTTAGTGTATCGTCGATCAATTTTACATGAAAGCTACGTAGTAGAGCGAGCAATATAGTTTCTCACGCTACTCGCTATTCGATTTGTAAGCGAGTCACGGCTGCCCCGTTCGCATCTCTCGGGCCCCGCTGTTTCTCGCGTTTCGTTCGAGAATCGTATCGACCGTTTGCATTTGAAGCAGCAAGTAAAGAGAAGGATTTCAAATCTTTCTTTCACCTCATCCTTACGTTTGCAAAATTATTCGTATTAATACGTATTCCATTTCCTTCGGCTGGGATGCGTCGTGTGTCCAATCAACTAACCAGTGGCTGGGATTTACATATTCTGCTGAAACTTCGCGGTTCAGCGGTTTCGGCCACGGCGGCAGAGTCGTGGAAATCACGTTCCAGGAACGATACTGCATCACGCGGGCGGATGTGACGAATTCCCAGGAACGCTGGCGCTCCGGTAATAAGGCGCATTGTTTTTGCCAAAACGTGACCGCGTTTCAAAATGTACCGCGTGAGTCATGCGCCGCGCGCGACTCACGCGGGAACAAAAACTTGCGTTACGTGCGCGACTCGGGGATGGAATTGTATCCGATGTAACGTGCGTGTGGGCACGCATTCCTCGTTCGTGGAAAAATCGAAATTCCACGCCGATGAGATACCGCAGACCGTCTGCAAACCGTCGATCTAACACCGGGCTCGGCGTACGAAATGTATCATTAACGATCTCTTCTCAAGAGTTTTCAATTTTCACGCGGCTTTCCTTCTTCGATCGTCTTCGTAACGAGTGATCTAAATAGTCTGGAGAAATTTAAATATGCGAACCCGTCCAGTTGACTGCCCAAATGTTTAAATATTCCAATATTTCGAATTCAGCTTCCGTCTCCTTGGTTTCTCTAACAAGACGATAAATTTCTATAAAATTCACAATTAATTGTAACCTGAAATTTCACGAAATTATTATTTTTTATCGCACGTGCACAGATTTCTGGGCATTTCAGGTTTCGAAAAGTTCCCTGTTCGTAACTCAGAATTCCACGAGATTATTATTTTTATCATACACCTGTGTAATACATACTTTTTTGGGCATTTCGTACTGTGACTACAAATTTTCATAAATAAAATTTATAATCCAATTGTAACTGAAAATTATTTTTATCGTATATATCCATGTAGCACATATTTTTCGGCGTTTCGTGTTTCGAAAAAAAGTTCCACGTTGACCCGTTGGACAAAGGGTTGCGAAAGTTTAACGAACGAAACGTGGTATGTAGGTTAAAGCTACGAGCCGAGCTATGCGATAATATCGCGCATCTACGACATCGGGAGATTAATTTGAAAATAAATCGATGCGTCGATTACGGAAACGTAACGATGAAACGCGAATTTATTTATCGTCGTCGTCGTGTTCCCTCGTGGCCGAAAAACTCGACTCTGTGTCAGCAGTGGAATTCGCCGCTGAAAGAAAGAAAGAAAGGAAAAAAGTATTTCGTTAGGGACGGAGACAAAGGACCAGCGACAATGAACACATTTCAGTAGGCCGCAATGATGAACAAAGTGGCAGCGAGCTTGTCGAAAGCGTTCCCATTCTTGCGCCGTTTCCACGCGCGGCTCTGTATTATTCGACCAACAATAATCATCAAAGTCTTTCGTCCTGTACGTTCGCCGGGAACGATGGCATCGTCGTTTGTCGTCGCACGATGCACGCTGGCGGTGCTTCCTCTCTCTTTATGCCAGTCGCGATTACAAAAAGCAAACCCTCCGCGGATTCGATTCGATTCGTACACTCAGTACGACGACAATGCATTTCCCCGATCGCTCGCGCTTTCAGACGCCTCGACTCGGTTATTGGACGATCGATTTCTTTTCGAGAGCCAAGCGTCTTCTCTCGAGCGCGAGCGTCTTCAATTAAAGACCTCGTCTGTCCTTCCGATTACTTTCAATTCGCTTGCGTTCCTCCTTTTTAATGGATAATCGCGGAATGGATATTTTTCGACCGGCAGATTGACGATCTCGTAGATTTCTTTCGTCATCTTATTGTTTGTTATTTATTTCTATCGCTCGTTGTTCGTTGTATGTATATATAAGAATAATTGGAGCCTAGTGAAATTACGTCTGCTTGTCATCTTTGTCACTCGCGTGAAATTAAAGGATTTGATCTCTCTTCTGAAAGATCATACGCAATAAGTCTTTCGATTTAGTTTCGATCGTGCCGAGTTCAACTCTTAAGGCCCCCATCGACTCCTAAGTTTCATGAAGCCTGCATCAGAGTCAGCTTGTCTCCACACATCGATCCTTCAGTTTCCCGTGCGATGCCAATGTTGCGACATGTGTTTTAAGATGTCTAGAAGTCTACTCCTGCATCAGTGATTCCTTACTTTTCAATTGTGCTTGCACCAGTGATGCATGCATCGCAGCATGTTTCAACGTCTATGGGGGCCTTCTACGGTAAAGACTGTCAATACTAGATGTCACTACCGTCATAGAAAAGTAGCCTATTTATCTGATTTTGACACAAGCCTCTTCAATCAATTATGAAATAATAATCCTTGGCAAATTCGTTCACTATATCGACAAATGAAACACATCCTCCTCTACTTCCTTCTTTCGTTATAAATTCGTCGGTCGTTACTACGTGATCATAACATACGCGGGTAGCCACGAAGCGTGCTCG